TTAAATAGCAGCACCTAAATCTCCCTAAGCAACAGGATGAGAGCCAGCTGAATACACTAATTTACATGAAGCTAAAAACAGACGAGATCTTACCTGTGTTTGTATGCAATAGGTTGGAGAGAAAAGCATGTAGCAGTGTGCCTCGGTGCTGCAGGAGTGTCTATCTGAGCCGGTAGAGGACTATTCGGCTCAAGTCCTCTCTCTCCCTCCCTTCCTCCTACTCTCTCTCCTCTGTTCCTCTCTCTCTTTCTCTCTGCATCAGTCCATGGCTGCTGCTGCTGCTGTGTGGCTGCCATCACAATGCCCTGTGGTCACACCTCACTGAGCAAATTGTTCATTAGTGGAAATCGGATGCAGCGGTTGGTGGCTGGGAAAAGAGAAAACATAGTATGCTTGTTTACAGCAGTCGTCTTGTGCATCAACAGCATATACATTGTAAACAAACTTTTGCATTTGTTTGATAAAATGCTACTATTAAAGTCTTATTTTTTTCTAAGTTAGAGTTATGTTTAGTTCATGGTCATCTGAAATAAGGTAAGAAAATAAAACACTAGTACTGAACAGTTTACTAACTGCTGTTGGCGGGTCTGCCACCTGCTTGTCTCCATGGAGATGTTATTGCTTTGCCTGGAATGTTCCACAATATGGAATTTGTATTATTTTTTTGTTTTGTTTTGCGCAGTAATGTGTTTTAATTTATATATACGTTTAATGCCATACTGTGGAGCATTTGAGGCAAAAAGTGAATTGATACAGAATTTGAATTTGAATGTATTTGTTTGGAGGATAAGCCCCTTGAGGTGTGTCACCATCTCGTTTTCAAGGGGGTCCTCAGAAAGGTACATTTATGTTTTTCATGGCCTCACAAATATTTTCAGATTATATTAGGTCATTGTCACAATAACATCTTACCTAATACATGTACTACTAATGAGATTTTGTTTTGAACTTTCTCTGCTTTTGTTCCTTTGTGTGTGATCCCCAGGAATGCAACAGAAATAGACACAATCAGTGAACTCCCAGCCAGACACACATCATTTCCTGACTGTGTCCTGTCTGCTGTGGTTGCAGGCAACATCAGTCCAGTAACACTGTATTTGACCTTGACTCTCCTCCTTCTAATCACCACTGCTATAATATTCATAGTCCATCCATCCATTTTCTTCCGCTTTATCTGGGTCCCCGGATAACAGTTAGTACATTTAGTGGATCAAGAGTGATATCAAGATTATTTGGTTTACTGATATTCTGTACTGCAGAAAGGCATTGTCACATTAACTACTTCTGTTTCAAAGCTGCTGTTTGATCATGGTGTCAATAAACATGAATAATCATAACACTGGGATTTGATATTGTGCCATTTCTAACCAAGAATGTATTACAAGATGTTGTGCAGAACCAATTTTAATAAATGTTTTATTGGCAGGAGAAGATGGTGTTTTTGCTTTCATAAAAGAAAAAAGAAAAAACAGAAAAGTTATGAGGCACATATACTAGTTAAATTTAGGGTAAAATTCCTTAGATTATAATCTCAGGAGGAATTCAACTGTTAATTTAAAATAGGTGAACTGTAAAATGGGCAGACTGCAATATCTCTTGTAGATATGAAGAGAGGAACAGCGTTCTTAATAGTAAGCCTTAATTTAGTTTGTCTATGTCATTGCACTTTGACAAAGGTCCAGTCTTATCATCGACTAAAGGCAGTAAACTTGACTGTGTTAAGGGCCTTCCATGTGATCCTAGGTTTGTCTGGCATCCAGAGGCAGACGGCTGCTCCCTGGAGACACTGACAACACAATGTTAAATGTGTGTACTGTATACATGTGTGACGGCAAACTATTCTGCCCTTGTCCAAGCAACTGGCCCAATGCACGGAAAATCAGAGACAATAGCGCACTGCAAGGGCCAAAAGGTTTCTTTGTCTACAAGATGCACTCTAGCTCCAGTTTTTTGTGTGCCACTGAAACTTTTTAGAACAACAATACAAAGAATCTGCAAATGATTGTAAAATGAAATAGCTTATAGAGTTCCTCTTTCAAACAAGTTGGAAATCTACATCGCTATAAGGTATTTAAATAATGTAAATAAAAGTCAGCGCAGTGTTCATTATCTAAGGTCTCAACATATGGATCAGGTCTTTGCATAGTAAATATGACCTTTGAAAATCCATAATGACCTTAGGAAAGGGATAAATCTATATGAGCTGTGACGGGTTTGACAGCCTTACACACAGTAGCTTTCCCAGTGTAAATATGGGTCTTGTACAACACTGATCAGTTTATGTGTTGAGTGCCCACTTAAAACATGCACAGTAGGCAGGTTGTCCTGAGTAAACACAGCTAAAGATCCAGAGATCGGTCTTTCTGGGTTACAGCACTGTAGTCACCTTCTGATAGCGTTCCTTCAAATGGCCCAGTGCTGACATACCATAACAAGTGTCATACACAAGTTCACTCCTGTTAGTTTTAAATTTATGGAGTGGGTCTTAAAAACCTACATATAACATATGGAAGTATATAGGGGCATTTCAAATCAAATGAGAAAATTATGAAAGAATAAATGACAAAAGATGTAGCTATATGAAAAAAAATCAACTGTCAATAAAAAATATACAGTATTTTTGAGAGTAAGTTGTCACCATAAACCCATCAACCAGATTTCCTTTCATTTCCACAACCCTGAAGTGTATCATGTTTTTTTTCTGCATTGCAAAGATTCTATCAGCCTCTAGGAAGTCACATGGTGAGAAGTAAAATGGACCTGTACAGTAACTGTAAAGGAGAAAATGTTATTAAGTGAGGAGAAGTTTAGGAAGCTGCAATGGTATATCCACACCCAATTTCCAAACATGGGTGGACTTCGTATGCCCATAACAACACGCTGCCCTGTCCTAGTTGCTTTTTTCAGCGCTCTCCTTCACTTGGCTCAGGACAATAGGGGCCAGGGTGAAACATTGTGAAAGGGAAAAGTAGGGGGTGGTCTGAGGTCCTGAAAGGGGAGCAGTGGTGGCATGCCCCGCCAAGGAGGGGAAAAAAACTGTAGGGTTCTTTCAGTTGTAGCTTATTGATGATGTAAATGAGTTGCAACTGATGGGGGTTGCAGCTGAAGAGTGACGTCAGTTTAAGTTTAGGGGTGTAGAGTAAGTAAGTACTAGCATTAAGAGCATTGTGCACATGGCAGGAGGTTTGACTATGTCGCTATACAGCTTACACCTCGTTTTTGTCTGACTGAGCTGCTGAGAAACTTACCACACAAATCCGAGATGGAGAAAAAAACATATTAGAATTTAATTAATGCTCAACAGTAAAGTTAACTATTTCAATTCAACAATTAAAGTGCCAATGTCCACAGCTTTTTGTTATTTTAACAAAAACAGGCCTAGTGTGGTTTTAATATGAGATACCAGAGGTATTATTTATTTATTCATTTAGTTTATTTATGAGACAGGGACAGTACACAATATACATTAATCTTAACAGGAGAGATGCATTGTGCCAGGTTGTAGCACTAGAGCTAATTTCCACCTGTAGTCCCTGATGCATGTTTTTTTTAGGTTTAACAACTGTGTCTGGAAAAGTTTGTAATGGTTATTAGTAAGGTGACCAGTTACTCAACAAATACTTGCCCACTAAAGGGCAGTAAATCATGATTAACTAGAACTTGGATCTATAGTGAAACTATGGTGGGAAAAGGTATAGTTCTTTCTCCCTGTGAGACAGGGTATCTTGAAATTACACTATGTAAGTTTTCTGGTGGAGGGTACATCTGTTTGTCAGCACGGAGATGATATTGTTTAACATGGAATGTTCTGCAGCATGACATTAAACTTACGGATCTCTACTGACACAAGCAGCACAGGCTACATGTTTTTCAAAGTAACAGAACTGAATGCAAAATATACGGACCTGCGTTTCATGCCTCACTGTAGAATATACCAGAAAACAATATCTTCATGTGGACAGCAGGTGGCGGACCACCAGAAATGCTACATAGAGCACCTTTATTTAAGTAAATGTACCCACCTTCAGTTGCAGGACTGTGAATTTCAAGACAATGTGGACTTCAATGAAGATTATTATAAATTTGCCCCTTTCACTAAATTCTGTAAGCAGACTTAAACTGTCTATTTTTTAACTGTTTATGTGTGGCCTTTGGATAGCATTATAGCACAGTGCTAGACGCGCACTCTCTCTTACCAGTCTGACCCATGGGAGAGGTGGGTAAATACACACAAAAGCCTAACTTAAAAGTCACTTAGTGCTGATTCGTTTGTCCATCAGATCAGTGGCACAGGTAGACTATGCGCTATTAAATTAGAAATAAGCAGAACTGTTATCAATGCTACTGTTTCCTAGCCTACCAATCTTTTCCCCCTTAATGCTTTGCCTACGCTATGTGACTGCATAAGCTTTTAGCGCTATCTTGTGGGCAGTTTATGTATTACGAGGCCAGTTTATCACATATTTCAGAGATTAAACAAAGTTATTTTATACGTGTAAGTCAACGTGTATTTTTTCTAAAATATTCAATTATGACTGAGGAGGGTGTGTCAAACATTTTGATGTTGTTGTTTTCCCTGTTAAACAGTAGAAGCGCTATCTGGCTCCATCTTGTGTCATTACAGCAAATTGCAGTCAGTGGATTACTGGGTCAGTGTACACAAATGGTAAACATGCACATGACCTGATTGCTGCCCCTTCGACATTAAGAACAAAGTCGCCTATTTCTACTCGAACGGGGTCTTTGACCATGTGCGCATATAGAAAAAGGTTTAATTCTGCAGCGTTTAGGTAAGCCTATAACAAGTCCAGTAATATATGCCTAAATGTGTATTAATTCCAGTGCGGCCCATGTTATCAGTAGAGGCTATATCTAAAAGCGGGTAACCTTATTAACAGGCTCCAGCTAATGCGTGCCGGGGGCGAGCGCTGCACCACCGCAGTAGCGCTGTGCGCGCTCCCGTAGAGGTGGTTGGTACGTCATTTCGGGGGCGGGGTAAACCGGCAAAAGCGAGACTTTGCCGTTATCGTGGCATCTCTGACCATCACGCAACCGGACTGGACCCCAGCCTCAAGAAGAGAACTGTGTTATTGAATCGCAATGGGAAATGTGTCGCTGTGCACCGGGTAGGCCTAATTCTCGCAGTGTTTGTCATTTCAAATGTGTGACTTGTCTTAGCCCGGTGTTGCTATGCCCGCATGCTGGTAACAAGGATGTTGCTGATGGATGTCGGTCAATCTGCAAGTGGTGTTGTTATGGCCTGTGGCGTCCAAAACAGGTCTTTATTTGATGGTAAATTCACATGTATGCCTGTTTTTGTTCTTTAGCCCTTTTAGGACCGATATGTCCGGACACGTCAAAGAGGAGAGATTTGTAATTAGAAGCATCACCAAAGGGATCACCTATTACTATGTCCCAGTAAGAGCGACATGTTTCTCCAAAGAATGTCAATACTCAAGTTCATCAGCAATCAGCAAGCTATTACCAGACACATCTTCAGAAGACCGTCCTCTGCTGGTTTTCTTCTCATGGCTTGGTGCACAACCTGGGCCCGTGGCTAAATACAGGGACCTCTACCTGCAGAAGGGTATGGACGTTCTTCTTGTCCAGAGCAATGTTATGCACTTCTTATGGCCCAGGTGGGGTGTGGAGTATGGTCTGGAAGTGCTTAAAATTCTGGAGGAACCTCCCTTCTCAGGACGCACTGTTTTGATCCATGCCTCTTCGATTGGTGGCTATACTTTCTCTCAAATTCTCACACACATCGCTGAAGACCCTGAAAGGCATGCCGCCCTGAGCCAGAGGGTCAAAGGACACGTCTATGACAGTCTGGTGGTGGGCACACTGGAGCATATGGCTGTAGGTGAGTGAGAGTGATCAGGCGCTCTCCCTGGCTATCAGGTTACTTATTGTGGTGGGTATTTGTGTCAGTGCTTTAAATAATTTATCAACAGCTGACCCACTGCTCCACTTAGCACATCTTGATTCTAAGAATCCTTTTGTTTGGTCACAAGAGGATTATTGTATTTATTATATAATAATTTTATATGTTACTAACAGTTTCAAGGTTGAGGTTTAGAATTAAAAACTGCTATGTTGAAAAAAACAGAAGACCTCCAAGCTGTACTTGGGGTTATCCATGTGGAATTTTACTGCAGCTCATGGAAAAAAAATAAATAAAAATTCAGTGCCCCAACATATCTCATGTCCCAACATATCTCAGTAACATGAACATCAATAACAACAATCAGAAAATAGTTCAGAGATTCAACAGTGATGTACTAAAATGTCTTTAAATGTTTTAGTTGAGGTTCAGACATGTGAAAGGAAAAATGACCCTTGCCCAAGTGCACTAAACCCTTGTTTGAAAGATTTGATATTTTATATATACTGTATATATATGTGTATGAATATTCAAATGTGGTATGTCTTCAAAACAACATTCAAATAGTATTGATATTTAGATATATTGCTCAGCTCTAATTGTCCACAACAGCTTTACATTGATTTAATAGTTAGAAGAACATAGGAATGTGTAATCAAACAGGTGAACAAAATTATTTGATTATTTGATTGCCATCAGAAGTAAAATACAATTCATGTCTTTCAGCTTTCAGACCAAATGTAGGTTATTGGGATACTGTGCTATTTGACCAGTCAACATTTTCACATTCCTACAGATTAGAAATGGTTGAATGCACTGTTATAATGACCCATGGACGTCATACACAGCTTTTGTTCATACTTTAAAAGAAAGGGATTTTGTGTTTTTGTAATCTGAGCTCCTAATCACTGCTCATGTTTACCTGTAGGTGTTTCTCATGTTTTCATGCCTTTAAATGCTAGATTCTTACTTGCATCTATGTTGGATGAGCAACCCATTTGTCAAAAGTACCTCACTCACACAGTAGCTAAATAAGATCTACATTTTTAAATATATATTTTTGTAGACTGCTTATGAAAGAACAGAAAATAATATTCTTGATTTGATAAATGTAAACACAGATATATGCACTACATCTAAGTGTTCATTTTGTGGCATCATTATCATGTTTTGTTTTGTCTGCAGGTCTGGGGAAGACCCTGGTTCCATGGTTGGAGGGTCTGATTAAAAACACTGCACTTTTGTACTTCTGGCTGTTTAAGTCACAGACAGCAGACATCTACAAGCACAGTATCCAGGTTTTCCACAGCACGCCCATCACTGCACCAGCTCTCTTCTTCTACTGTGAGAATGACGCTCTGTGTGACCCCTTGATGATGGAGAAGATCGTGGAGCTCTGGAGGAGGAGGGGCATGGCCGTGCAGAGCAGGAAATGGAATGAGTCCATACATGCAGCGCACATGAGGTGTCATCCTGAAGACTATCTGTCAACACTAGAGAGATTTTTGGGCTCGCTCCAGAAGTCTCCTGTTAAACCGAAAATGATTGATGCACAAGTTCATATTTAACATGTTTATAATTAATGTAAGAGAAATATATTGTTTCTAACTATTTATCTTTTGTCCCTGTATTTGTTTCTTTGTTTGTCTTGCTACAGTCTTATTAACCATGAAATTCCTTCCCTATTGTTATTAGCACATGCAACGATGTTACAAATCCTTGGGAAATGCCTTTTGCACAAAGATGAATAAAAATATTTATTTATGATAAATGTGGTATGTTATTAATTAGTAAGGATGTAACACTAACCAAAATCATATTGTCAATGTCACATAATAATATTGTTGACTGTTTTAATATATGAATATATTGAATCACAAGTTTCTTTGCTTAAATCGATTGTTTTGTTCAGGTAGAAAAAGCTAAGAGAACAAGAGAAGACCATAACTGTTTTAGTGTAGACGTCATTAAGACATAACACATTAAACGCATTTGAAAATCCTTAATCCTTTGGATTATTACAGTAATGATAGTAACAAAGATTTGTCAAGGCATTTTAAAAGGAAAAAGTAGCATATAGCTCTTCTGTTAGCCTTTAAAATCGCAATATTGTTCAGTGCAGTAAATCTTGTGGAAGACGTGAGATTTTAGATATGGTCCCTAATAGCTAACATAACAGATGAAATCATTATGCAGCTTTATTGCTAACCTAAAGTATTTATTTGTTTGAAGTACTACCGATTTCAAAATAAAATAAAAAAAAAGTTTACATATTGTTGTTGAAATTTTAGTAGATCTTCAAAGTCCCCAAAGAATAACTATATCAACAAATTATTTTACTCGAGAAAAACTGAAACATTTGTAATTCTCTGTTGCATTTGTATTTTCATGAGGACTGTGTTTGGTTGCAGTTTTTAAATCGTCCACTGGAGGGCTTTAGTCACTCAAATATTCGCTTCCTAGCAGATGATTTGCGCTGTTTCCCTTTTGGCCATAATCACCAGTATGTATTCTTGGTCTTCTATATGATAGTAGTATCTTGATTTATATTGTATGTACTTTATGATTTATTTATGTATTTGTTTTATATAATTTATCTATTTAATAGCAGGTCTTCGAGGTTGGAAATAAACTGCACATCAACTTCCACTATGGTCCGATGAACGGGAACTGGCCTATACCCCTGGGGCATGTGTGACATACTACTGCGAACTCCATTGTTGGGTTCAGTGTTCATCTGGAGGTCTATCGTTGTTTTGTGATTGGACACAGAAGGTTTGCATAGCAGTCATGCAGTCCTGATTTATTTTACAACAACAACAACAATAATAATAATAATAATAATAATAATAATAATAATAATAATAATACAGGCATTGTCAAGAACCAACAGCACACACCACCAAGATATTTTGTACAAAAACATATTTGAAATGTTGCAGCTTAGTGACCACAAGTGTTACTCCAAAATCACTTCAGGTGATGTATTCAAGTTATTCACCTTTTCCGCTATACATTCAGAAATATTTGAAATGTAGAAGTAGTATAGCAGTAGTAGTAGTAGTAGTAGTATTTTTGGTAGTATATATATATGACATTGTGTATCTTTTTTTCCCCCAATTTTAGCACTTGCCTTAAAGTCATCAGTTGTGTTCACAATTTGGTTTATTTTGTGAACACGTTTTTACTTATGATCATTATTATCTCTAACATTTTAACAACCCACAGGAATCAGGGTAGAGGGGATCTCTAATGTGCACAGTGCAGTAAAAGTGCAGAATAAACCCCATGCAGGTCCTTTGATGGTGTATACTATATAAAAAGACATTGTATCTGTTCACAGTTTTGAAAATACTGAATTATCCTGTTTATGTAACACACTACGTCAATGAAATCATCTTTGCTCAGTAATGTGTTTCCGGTGTGTTTAAGTCCACTCAAGAGGTCATTCATGCATATATCCGGTCATCAGACTTAACTGGTTTCCCCTTTCAACAGAGAAAGGGGAAAATAAAGACTATTACAGACTGTATTTACAACACTGAATTGATTTGTGTATGTCATTTATCAAACTTGCATTGTATTTGAATGAAAGCAAGTCAAAGCTCACAATTGCTTTAATTCCACAGACATTGCAAAGGTTACACACTCATTTACATGTCATTTTATTGCACATCGAGTATTTCCTCTTTCGTTTTTAAAATAAACAAAACTATTGCTATTTGGACAAAATTAGTATTAGTAGACATTGTATAAACAGTATTTGATGTTTTTCAAATTTAAGAATAATGATGATGTCCTACTCCCATGGAGGGGTGTGCCAGTTTTTCTTATTACATTCTAATTTCATAAGGAATATTCAAAAAGTAAATTCTCAGTGTTTGAACCAGATCATTTCTTTTAGTGATTGGACTAAAATCTGCATTTTAACAATATTAATTCAAACTGCCCCCCATCTGTCTTACAGCAAAACCATGCAACTCTTTGGTGGCATCACTTTTCTTGCATGATTCCATGAAAATAGAAACTTCAAACTGTCAATGAATGCTTCACATGGTCATACCCATGGAACATTCTCCATAGAAATAGATATGTTTTATGTCATGTGCTGGAAAGGTTTAACCAAAGCAATCAAATTTCTATGGATATAGTAGGTGGAAGCCAAGCCAAGTAAGACTGCGGTCTTCAGAAATTAGCTCTTATGACCCTCTGACTCACAGAAGTTCAAATGTAAACTAGTGATTGGTGAAACTAAATGAACAACAATGAAAATGAACAACTAGAGCTATTTCTGGTGTCTAACAAATATGCACATGCAGTATGATCAATAAATTAATGAACCAAATTTAACCTGCTGCAATCAGAAGATAAGGATTAAGTTTACTACTTTGGTCTGGAGTTTGTGTTTCTCATCTAGGCATTATTTCTGTCTCTGTGTGATACTGTTCTTAAAAATGCACAAATACACTCAAGTCTGACTTAAGGTTTATTCTTTGAGCAACGTGTAAAATCATATAAATATAGATTTTAGCATTTAAATGTATAAGACTCACTCTTGTCAGTAGGAAAGGGTTGACTTCATTCTTTTGTTTGTTGCCAGAATCCAGTGCCGATACTTTTTGGGGTAAGGGCTTCCTGGATACTGCTTTAGGAACAGCAAGCCCAGACCGCAAAAAGACCCACAAAGGACAAAAACATGAGGGTAAAGATACAGAGAATTGCAGCTGTGGTAGAGTCAGCAACAACTAGAACAAGGAGAGGGAATAAATTCAGACAAGGAATTTTTTTAATGAAAGAAATCATGAATGGTAAAAACACTGTAGGGAAAATCTGGATATCCACTGTGATACATTCTGAAAATGATAAAAGATTGTTTTAAGCCAAATTGTTTAACTATTCATAATATGGTATTGGAAGATGTAATACATATGTCCAAATTGTACCCACACTGGACTAACATTCCATTCTACCAAAACCTATGTACCTGTGTAACAAATTATTGACTTAAGATTGTACTCAAGAACACAGGAACATGTTTGGACACTCCTGCATTTTACACCTGGTGCACAAACTCTGGAAGGGTCTTCATGGGTAATATCAATTATATATATATATATATATATATATATATATATATATATATATATATATATATATATATATATATATATATATATATATATATATATATATATATATATATATATATATATCTCTTCCAGTAAGGATGGTGTGGCACATAGTACACATAAAAAAAAATAAGAATTAAATTAAATAAAACTTAAAGATGCTGCAAAACAAAGTCCAGAAAGGTCAAAAAGAGTTTGTGATGTGCACATATATGTAGGTCTGTTGAGCACCCAGGCCCCAATCACAGCGTCCATGTTCCAAGTTTCTTAAAGCGTATTTAAAGGGCTTAGCCAAGCGTACAGAGGCTACAGCCACATCTGGACAGGCCTATGCCAATGTAAGTGTTACGTCAAGGCCATGGGGACCAGCACACTGGACCATCTGTACACGTAGGCATCTGCCACACTTACCTCACTACATGCGTCATTTGTGAAAAAACTGTCACTTCCACTACTGCTCTTTCTCTAACTGTGTGCTCCACATTGAGCGTTATTTCATACAAAATACGCAGTACTTAAATTATTGTACCAGCTCCGTGCAGTGCGTGAGTCCCCTAGTCTAGTATAAATCAGACTTATTTCCGTAGCAGATCTGTGGCCCACTGTATGAGATGTTGTGATGGAGCCACTCTTTGAACAAACAATTGATCAGTAATCTAATCAGTGCAATGATGAGGGATAGTCACCTGCCGCGGCCTTTGATCGGCTGCTGAGTGTGAGAGCTGTCCTTGGTCCTGAAACGCATTCTGAGCTCTCCGTGGTACTTCGTGGTGAACGCCCTGCACTGGAGCCCAGTTTTAGGAGATAGGGTCTGGCAAATGGGAGAATAATGAAGTAACAAGAGTCAAGGACTATATCTGTTATAATAATGTTTTGCTATTATCTTTCTGACATACAAAGCTCGATGAGGACATAGCCATAGGATGCATTGGTTGTGCTTGAATTGGCACTTGTTGCCTTGATGCTTTCAAGGTGTGTGGGCATGGGTTCAAGTAGTTGTTCCAGTTTAAAGCTCTAATATTCGAAATTATTCACTAAAAGAGGCACTTCTGTTTAAGGTTCTACGCGCACGACTGCCCCCCCCCACCCACCCCTCATTTACCAGCTCTCCCATACACACAAACACGCATCCAAAAGTCCTGACAAAAGACGTTTACGCCGTCGCATTTGAACTGGTCATGGCCTTACAGTACTTAATAAAAGTCACAGAACCTGTTTGTGGGTTTCTGCCTAAAATGGAGAGTGATTTGGCGTTGCAATTAGAGGCGACACTCCTTACAAGTGTTGCTTAGTGTTGTAGTGTTTTGATATAAAAACAGCTAATGCGGACTTAATTATCTAATCAAAACTGAATTTGGCACCAGTAAAAACACTATCTGCCTGGATCTGGATGGATGCAGGAGTTATACAGTATTGCATCGAAACAGCAGGCTCGAGACGGAGCACGTCCATCGCTGCGGTTAATGATAAAATTGCAAACAAGTGGATGTCACCGTCAAATCACTTTTACTTGCACATGCTGTCTTTCCGATTCTACACATCAACACATCTCTCCGGAGAAAACACAGGCTACTGTCGCTTCACCATCAAACTCGGGCTGAATTTCTCAATGGCTCTCTATATGGCAACAGTCTATAAGCACGAAAACAGAATTGCAGCTCGTTGTTTCACTCATTTCAACTAGATGCAAAAATTAATATAAAATAAGATGGTCTCACCAAGTCTCCACCGATCCCAGGAAGCAGGCATAATTTTTATCTTTTCCCCGTTTTTCCCTCCAATAATCCCTGGGAATTTGAACGGCACCCATTGATATGCAGCAGTAGGGTCCCCCCTCTCCTCTTCCACCACCACCCTCTCGCCCTCCCTCCATCCTATCTTCCCAGACGTCAGTCGCATTGCCTCCCATACATTCCGCTCTACATTTATTTTTATTTCTGTGCATTTCTCAGTATTTAATCCATTTTGTTCGCCTCCCTCCTCTCTGAAAAATGCTGCAAAAACATCTAATGGAAGCCACTCAATTCCTCCAGTCTGCTTCTTGCTGGTGACCTGCATTGACGTCATTGCGTCATTAGGTTTCCCCTGGAAACACGGGAGAGCCAAAAATAGAAACACATTAATTCAAACCCCAGGCTGGGGGTGGGGGCTGGGGTAGGGGGTAGCTGAGTGCTGTTTTTGGCGACTATTTCTTTCTATCAATCTATATTCTTCGGACCCCCATTCCTCCTCAGCACACCACCTCACTGGAAACACAAATGAGCGCACGCACGTAGCCTACCGAAACACACTCGTTTCGTTTGGCTTTCCTTTGCCGCTTCTGCTGCGCATACAAGAGCACGCGCAGTGACAGGTTGCAAGGAAATCTCCCTCTGAGATACTATGAACGCCCTTTTCATTTCATTATTTGAACTGTATGCGTTGTGCTTCGATTTCGCTATATTCTTTATTAATTTGGAAGATTTGTGTTTTATGATAGTAAAAAAAATCTTAACAAAGAATGGGAGACACTAATTGTTGATGCACCAGGCAAATGTAAAAAATGTTACAATGGTCACTGGGGAAAAGATGACAGCTATCATTAGAAGATGTACCCCCTCTATTGTAGTCAGTAATTGAAAAGTGTTTGGACGTTTGGCCGGTGTCTACTGTGCAAAGATATGTTCCTGATATTCCATATTCCATAATGTTCCATCACATAACCTAAGACAGTTCAACGATAAGGATCAGGAGATAAAAGCTCCAAGGCAGCTTGGAAGCGTTGGCTAGGGACATTACAGCGTATGTTATAAACTTTTGATCATGCATATTTCGATGTTTACTCCTCTCAAAGTTTAGGCCACAAAATGTTGCTGCATCAATGTAATTTGGCATTTATTTATACAGCCGGTACAGTGGCCCCATGAAGTTAAACTTCAGGGGCGATTCCGTAGAAAGCATTCTTCATAGGCTACATCACTTATTCACTGCTTTCACGTTCATCCGGTCATTCATGTAATTCTCCATATTAATCCATTCATAGTGGGCAGCCGCCGTGCCCGTGACGCACAGCCACTCTTCGTTTAATCGCTTTAGCCTCATACCAGCTCCAGATGTGACGTTCAGCGCAGCGTGCTTCCCCCTCTTTCCATTTGGATGTGTGTACGCACCACTCTCTGTCACACACGCACGCACACACACATACGCATCAAGCCTTGTGACCCGGGTGAGGCAAGCCGCACGCACGCTCCTCCGAGTGATGATGCCGTTTTCAAGTTCTGCCTTTTAGGAGTGATGACGACAGCACTGAAGCATCATTTATTCACAAAACACATTTGTTCCTGGTTGCATTTTGCAACCGTGAGCTTATATGGTCAGTCTTGCGCATTTTACAATTTTCAGCAGGCCACATGATGCCATATGGCAAATTACCTATATAAATGTACACTTATAGGCTATAGAGCACAGTGGCGGATAGGCCTACTGTGAAACCCAGTCTGGAATAGGCCTATGTAATTCAGACATAGGCCTAATATAACAAGGACAATGCAAACTGGTAGTCTCATAGAGCTTTGCTTGAACAACTAAAAGAAGTGGCCATAAGGAATCTTACGGTTTTATTAATGTAGACACTGTGGATTTTGAGACACTGCAAATATGTTGATGCAAGGTAAAGAGCTAACCTAGAAAGAAGCACGTGACGACCAGAACACGTGTTTTGCCAACACGTCACAGCGCGCGAAAATGTTGGCATTGTGGCATATGTTTGTTTCTTAGCAAACTTTTGTGATCGGTGATCACTGCAGTTATAGCGGTTTCAAGAAGATCTTCTAAGGTAAAATCACAAATTACCCCGCGTCACTGGTGCTTGTGTTAACCATATTAAAATTAAGTTTGGTTAGCTTTAGTTTTCCTTGCAAAAGGCTGCAGTGTAACAGCAGATAAAGTAGCCTAACAAAGACAAGTGTCCAGTTTGTTTTTGAACAGTCTAGAAACTCTGGCCTATTCAGATTTACACTTCGCCAGATTAGCTCAAACCCTAAGATATTTCCGTTTTAGAACTGCATGGAGGAGGCATATTTCTACTGTGGGGTCTTGTGCAATAACAACAGACCTAATTGCGATACGCTTTGAGCGACACATTGAAATGGGTAAATCGAAAAGTATTTTTTTCCATGTAGGCTTTATAACTGTTATAAGTGAGGTTAGTGCAATTAACACCGGTAAAGGAAGGGCCAGCCAGTAACTGAGCAGAAACAAGAGAGCTCACTGCACTAGCTGCTGACGCCATCTGGTGGTCAAAGAAGACTACTACAGATAAAGGGTAGAATAAGTCAACTACAAACATTTTTCCCATAGCTGCTTATGTTATCATTTATATTAATTCACAGACTGTGGTTGACATGAATTTGGTCCTCTGGCCAGACATGTAGGGGCTATATATACAGTCAACTTATTCCTATATTTGGTATATACAGTCCACTTATTATTCTATAAATACACACATTACTACTTTTGACTTTTCTATATATTGGTACTGTGAATTTGAAAAGTGGAAGTAAAGTGAAAGACTTTGCTGTCTACTAGGCTATTTGATTTAAATGCGAGTCACTGCATTTATGAACGAATGAGCGTCACCTCCTTTTGATATTTTGCCTATTTAGAATTTAAATGAATGCAGAGATCAAAGCCAGCAGTGGTGGTGCAATAACCAGAAACCTCTAGCAGTAGCCCCTCATCCAATCTGTCATGTCCACAAACCGCCACCAGGGGGCAGGAGTGGTCAGCCTTTAACCCCTTTTCGGCTTCTCAGTTCATAACTCAGTGTTTGCTCTAACTATAATGCATTGTGTGCAGATAAGCTTACAAGCAAAATGTCATAATCATAACAACAATTATTTTCTAAATAAGCTAACATTCAACACTATTAGATGTTTGAAATGAATATTAGGCAAGAAAGATAGAAAATATATTTTGTTTCCCTATCAGATTTGGTCTTTCTCTGATCTTTGAACTTGGTACTTGTATGTGCCCTCAGAGTGAGTGAACCCCGGTTCTACCACCTTTGTGCCCTTTGTGCCCTGTGACCTCCCCTCTCTGATCTCAGCTCTCATCTCTCTGCAGCTACATGGCCCCTGACATGGATTCCACATTGCACACATATTAGCTCCTTATTAATTTCACAGGGAGGCAATCAAGCAACGTTTTTCTCAGAGGGTACCCCTGATGTCTAAAATAACCTTCAAATTATTTTCAAGTGGACCCTCAGCAATCAGGCCATAGCCTTGGTGTTGAAGAAGAGAAACAGAAAAGAGGCAGAAAATAGTTCACATAAAAATAACTTATTCTGCTCATTCAAAGGGATTGTTTAGTGTGAGTGAAATGAGGGTCGGCCTGAATGTGCTTGCCCTGTCTAAGGATGAGAGCAGGGAGCATTGGACCTTAAGGACCTTGAGAGGGGAATTGGATGCTTACGGTGCAGAAGTCTATCTCCTAGGCACTCTGCCTTCAACTTTTTCATTTTTTATCATTAATTATTTCTCTCTAATTGCCAGGATTAAAGGAGAGAGAGGGAAAGAGTCTCTGGAGTCCAGCAACACTGATTATGTGTGCATGTGCACTTGGAGAGAGCACAGCCTGAATAGGGGAGGAAGTACTGGAGCTTCCAGGTTAGTGTTGCCTTTTACTTTCTTAACAATTATGATTTCAGAATAAACAAAGCAGTCTGATTGTATTAAGGATGTGCGTCATAAAATCAGATTACAAAACTGGTGCAGGCCCCATGTTTCTGAGCCTGTTGTGAATGATGATAATAATTATAAGAACTTTGTATGTGCCAGTACTTTGTGAGTCTTCTAAACTGCTCCAGACTCATGCTGCAGAAATGCTAATGTGATTAAATGGCCCTGATACTGATGACACAGTCTATAGTCAGAATGTCACCAGAGATAATTTGTTAGACTGTTTTGACAGAGAGATTAATTACAGACTCCCAATGCAACATATCAATATTGTTCTTTTACCTATTTCAATACCTTACCCTTCTTGAACCTAGATGATGTGACATGTATTTATTTGATCTTCAGTGTAAAACATCAAACAAGTAAAATCTTAATTAAAACTCCACACAATAAGTCCCACAGCTGTATTCTTCAAACATGTTCCCTCTTTACAAATAAACATGTGTGCTTCATTAATTCAATGGTGAGTTTTTAATTACAGTTTCAATTATGTCAATAAACAACAGAATTCAAAAATGCTCTTATTCCCTTACAATCTTAATAGATTGGTTGATGCTTTGGTTTTAATCATCATATAAAGGTCAAATTTGTGACAATGATTGGCTGCTTAACGGTGACTTGTATAATATTTTTCTTACTTGTTTTGGGTTACTTAAAGATACACTGCATAACATTTCTAGTGGAGGGTCCGCCACCTGCTTATCTCGATGGAAATTTTATTTCCTCCTCTAAAATGTTCCACAGTATAGATTAACATTCCAGGTAAAGCAATAACATCTCCATGGAGACGAGTAGGTAGCAGACCCTCCACCAGAAAAGTTACGCAGTGCACCTTTAAGTCATAGTTATAACTTCTGTTTTTAGCAATTAAGCCGTGTTCCTCTGTCTGCCTCCCATCCCATCTGGGAGGAAAATTTCATACCATCCCCATATATATAAAGATATGTCAGCATCAATATGATATGGCCATGCTCTAGTACTTACTATCTTTTTATTTTTATTAGAGCTTTCCTAAAATACAAAATTCCATGTTCCCCTTTTCCATCACAATACGTTTCAGACATTTAGGTCAGCTCCGATCTATTGCTTCTGTGGGGACGACACCAAATCTTAGCTGTAGCATTACCCCTGCTGTGCCCGATGTGATGTGAGTTTTTGGGCTTGGCATGTTTCTCTCTAACTTCTTCTGTGTCTGCCTCCAACAGCGCACTGACATTTTAGCATTAGTGCTGCTGTCAAAGTGTGACGAAATCAAGCCGTCTGCCCCTCTCCCCTCCACGCACTGTCTGGTAAGTCAAAGTGTTCCCCGGGCTTCCATCACTGTTGGTTTTTTGGGTTGATACTGCAGCCCACTGTGTTATAAGTGGAAATAAAGGCCACCTATCATCATCTTCTGGTCAGGGTGATTCACAAGCGAATGCCAAAGTTCAAAAGATACAAGATTCCCACGCTATCCTGCCATAAAACCATTCTTCCATGTACAGTCACTCTGCAGCAATTCACGGTCGAGCGCAGAGTGGGTTCAGCACAAAAGCCAAACGCTGATACCTGGCGGGCTTAGAGGCCTGAAGGTGTAAAACATTCAGTGTAAGAGTTATTGCTCAAGGACAAAGTAAACAGCTGCATGATGTGGAAAAGTACATTTATTTCAGTTCAAAACATAGACTCTTACCACACTGTACAGAAGATGGCTCTATGATGCATGTCAGTAATCTACTCATTTGCGCACTGATTTGATAAAAGTGTAGTGCTGAATGCTTCTAGGATCACAAGCTTCCTCAAGGTTTGTTATGCTGTCATAGCTTCTGATACCATTAACTTTAGTTCAGTTATCAACCTGCTGCACACAAATATCCTGCAATATATGAATATATACTTTTGAATAAACAAGTGAAGCTGAATGGAAGCATTACTCTGTCTAAAGCTCAGTTACTCTAGTTAAACTGAGCTTTGTAACACAATATGACCATAAAAAAGACTTGGTTGGAACAACAGGGGATATTGTATTTAGTATTTTTGTTTTTGTTTTCATTGTGTCATGATGGTAAATGCAGAACTTTCCTCTATAGACTTGCAGAGATTCCTCCCTAGCGAAATGTTACTGCAAAGTATGAATGGTTTTAGTGCTGGCTCGTGGGTGCCTTGTGCTGCTCCGTGCTGCCTGCCGCGTTTAGTGTCAGAGTACAGTGTGAGAGCCTGGACCAGTGTGACATGACTGCGTATACCTCTCGCACTCCCACAGGGCTTTGGGAAAGAGACATCTCACCAAAATGTCACTTAAACTGCAGTGTGCCCTACCTTTTAAATAGAAAGCCAAATTTGCCTTTACTTCTCCTTCTTGCAATACTGGTCACATTGTTTTTCTCTCCTTTTTCTTTCCTTGTACTATCGGTCTTGGTTGATTCTTTGTTGAAACGCCAGACAGTGAAAATGCCAAGTCCACTCCCTCCAACTGTAATTGCCTGCTTTCAGCTCCAGCAGCCCAGCAGTACTACTTAACATGTACTTTTACTGATTTTTCAGGTATTTTTTTGTCTGTCTATACAAGTCTAAGGCTTGTAGTGATGTAACTTCTAAGTAGGAACAGCAGGGAGGAATTTGTGACAATTCATTTAATCTTGGTTTATTGCAGTGGATTACATGTATTTCAGACTTTTAACAGCCAATCTTTTGTGTTTTTATATTTTTAGTTAGCAAATCAGCCCCAGAAAAGATAAATTAAAGGCCATGATTCTAGGAGTGTGGAATTCTTATTATTTTATAGTGGCAATTTGATGGAAAAAACAGCATGTAATCTCTTGTGCTAGAGTGTGATTAAGCTGTGATGTTAGGTGGTGGACTCCATGGTAACAGGGCTTATGTGGCTCCAATACTTTATCCTTGAAGTCTCTCCATATTTTTGACCTTCTAAGATCCTTTTATTACAAAATTCATAACTTTACAGCAAAATCATGACTTTTTTCAGTTTTGTGTTGCCTGGTTCTTTGTAATTATTATTTTCCTTAATTCCTTGAACTACAGTTTTGATCATTTTGTCACATTTGCTGTTTTTTATCTTTTACAAGCATTGTAGTCAGATCATCTGTCATTTATCTTGCCTGCTTTTAATCCATTGCAATCACATCTCTGGTTGTTCAAGATCTAATTTAGTGTAACTATTTTTACTCCTTTATGGTTTTCTTCAGGTTAATCAGTTTTTTTGTTTTTTTTTTGTCTTTAACTTTGACCTGTATCGTGCTCCTTGGAATGGGTTCTTGTATTAATTGCACAGGATTATGCATTTTATATCTGATCTGAAGTTATAATTGAGGAAAGTTTGAGAAAATGACTCCAGTTTAATCCATTCTCAAAAGGTGAAGATGGGTTCAATTACCAGTTGGGGTCCTTCTGTGTAGTTTGCGTGTTCTCCTTGTGTTTGGGGAGGTTTCCTCTGCAAACTCCATATTCCATCATCTCATCTAAACCTCCAGCTTGGCAGCACTGACTAAGATTTGTTCAGCTAATGGAAATGGGTCCCCTGCTTCTGACAGGCTTCAAACATCATTAAAGGATGGGTCAAATACAGAGGATACATTTTCCTAAAGGGACAGGAAAGTGTACCTTAGTCTTAAAGCAACTTTGCTCGTGGAGGATCTGCCACCACCTTGGGGATGTTTTTGCTTTGCCTGAAATGTTTCACTGTGTAACATTAAACTTACCTATGTCAATGGAAAGGTCACACCACCATTTCAAATTACTGGTCAAATCTATCAATAGGTAGTCCCTCCCACACAGTAAGAATGCATGTTTCTTCAGCTAATATTTACCAATATACCAACCAACCAGCAACTAAATAATAAGCAAGATAGATAAGTGATACTATAGTGTGAAAAATTCCAGGCACAGCAATAATATGCCCATGGAGACGAGCTGTGGCGAACCCCCTACCAGAAAAGTTACATTGTGTCTTAAATGTTAATGTTTAAAGTTCATGTTAAAGCAGTATAATAGTGTTGAAACGTGTGCTGAAGTGGTGCTGCTGTAAGTCTTCCCACAGGACTTGCTGAACTGTAGCGTAGTGTTAAGTGTGTTCAAGGGCACTTCTGCTGCTGTCAATGCACTTAACATTTTCAGCCACACTTCAAAGCACGTGTGTCAAATGATAATCTCAATTTAAAGACATTGATCGGCTGATTTTAAAGTCAAATTCTGCCCTGTTTGTAATCCCGAGTTTGTGAGTGGTAAGGTAATGTTTTTGTTGGCGTGGCTTCTCTTTGTGGGTCCCCAAATGTTCCTGTGATTAGTTTCAGCGTGTGTGAAAGAAAGTGACCTCCAAAGCTTAAATACTCCACTTGACACCGTTTGATCTTTAATCTCCAAAACACAAAGACTGAAGTGTGTTGTGCATTAGGACTATGAAGAGATTAGCTCTGAGCCTTGAATAATATTGATCAAGACTATTTTAGAGTGCAACTCTGGCGAGCGCATTGATTAGACATGGCAAAAGCCCTTTCTTATTAGCATTTGTTATCAACATTTAGCGTTATCACATTTCTTTTGACTTCCCTTCACATCTACCCCTCACTCCTCACTTTAGACAATTTCAGAGACATTACGGCATTATGAGTTGTGCTTTAAAACATCATTCAAATTATCTCCTAACCCGCTTTACATTTAGTAATAATATACATGCAATGAATCCCAAATGATTGTGATATGAGCTTTTTTGTTTCTTTTTATTCTATTGCTTCCATTATCTAATTTGCAAGGTTATGGTGATCATCATACAATGAATAGGATGATAGCGTGTAATCTAATCTTTTTTATTATAGTGGATATGTAAAACTTCAATCAAAGGCCGAATATCAAAGAGCACAATCTTTTCCATGTCTTATGCTTCTCGTACAATACGTCTATGATCAGTGTGCCTCAATGCTCCGCTCTCTTTCAAGTCTCTTATCAGCATTCAAATGACACGCAAACAAATGACATCATTCTCAAGTGATGTGAGAGGAGACAGTTATTTTTCCCTTTGTCAAAGACAAGCATGTGGAAGTAGCTCAGAGAAATATGTAGCTAGGATCAGACAGACCAAGAGGAACTTGGACGACGGTGAGAGAAAACAGCTGGTGAGGTCTAACAGTGCTGTGTGTGCACAAATCGTAGGCAGCTGGTGACCCAGAAACATCCTCTCCTCTTCACAACACTGCTCTGGTGCAGCCACTCATAGAGAACTCATTGCATTTAGTACTGCTCATAAGCAGTGCTGGGACAAAGCTAAGCAATATTACTCAAGTACTGTTCCGAATGGTTGTGCCATCTCTGGAACTAAAGAAAAACCTTTTGGATGAACTGTCAAACACAAATTTATCAAAACGCGTGAGGCAGGTCTGGGTTTTTGAGTTCACGAAAGTGTAATTTTGTAGTGGTGGTCCACTGAATAGTGACAGTGTTTCTCTATAAAAGTCTTTTTAGCCACTAAAAAATGTGTTTCTTCTAGATAAGTTTGCAACAAAGTCAATAATTCTACCGACTACCTTTTTGATGTAAGTGTACTTTGAATTTCAAATAGACTGACCCCAATGTGAAGAAAGGATGTGGCATTAAAGACTTTTGTTGCAGTCTTGGTGATCATAGTGATTAGTGACTAAATATTACCAAAATGTAACAGGTTATTAGGATATATGTTTCCCCGGGTAATTGTGTTCTTTTTTGCAGCCTCTCTTACAAATTTAATCCTCAAAAAAATTCTAATTTGTTTTCAATCACAAAGCTCCAAAACAATCCATTTACAAATGCCAAACATTCAAGTTCAAAATTTGTTGTCTAATTTAGCATGTTTGCTTGCTGTTCGATTGTAATTACGCCCTGTTTTAATGCTATTCCCGAATCCAAACTGAACATTAATATGCATGCTAATAATACAAATATAAAAAGTACTTCATTATTAGCCCAATATATATATATTTACTGCAGTAATGTGCTACCACGTTTTCTTGGTACACCGCTTGCTCCTTGTGTATGTGTGTGTCTTTAATAGCTGTTTTAGAAATATTGATGCCTCCAAAATTAACAACACTTTCTTATCCCTCACAAGACAGTTTTTACATTTAGATGAGTATTCTGACTGGAGCAACTCAGCCCACCTTTAGTCTGGTGATTGGACCCATCTCGGTGCTATGTAGCGTGATTTAATAAGGTTTTCACTGCCCCCCTGCACATTTTCTTGAATAATGCTCTGCTGCTTTTTCATGTGTAGTCCTGACACTCGGTCCATTTATTAATGAATTCCAGCATTCTCTTCAGTTTTC